CGAACATCTAGATTTGACAAATAAAAGTACAACAATCTTTGAAGGTAAAGAATCGAAAATCACCCAAACAAAAAAAAAAAACAAAAAACAATGAGTTTAATTAATTTCAAAAGTTAAGAATGATTTAACTTTAATTTATTTAATCAATGAAAATGTAGATAGTTTTACTTGATGGAATTTGGTGCCGGGACACCATGAAAATCGGTTGTGTTTATCCATTTCCTTCCTTGATCGAATGTTTCCAAACAAACCTTCCATTTTCTTGAGAAAAGCAAAACAAAAACAAAAAATAATTTCTTAATTAGTCTTTGCTTTAGAAAAAACTCCCAAAAACTTATGTTTCGAGTGAGCGGATTAAGGTGATATATATATATATATATATATATATATATATATATATATATATATATATATATATATATATATATATATATATATATATATATATATATATATATATATCAATGTTGCAAAAATCGCGCCTAGGCGCCGATTGTTTCTAAAAAAAAAATGCTTCTTTAGCTCTTAATTTTAATTTTTTATGTATTTAGATGGTTTAAATAATCTTTTGAACACTTTTACAACCACTTTCGTAAATAGTTTCTAAGAAATAACTATGGAAACCTTATGTTTTATTACTAAATTTTAAAAATTTTTAATTTTATTTTTAATTAAAAAATAAAAAAAATAAAAAAAATAAAAATAAAAAATAAAAAATCGGCGCCTTGGCGCCTAGGGAGCGCCTAGCGTGTTTTGCAACATTGATATATATATATATATATATATATATATATATATATATATATATATATATATAATGAAATCTGTGTTTATTGCTTAACAGCTCTGCGCCATCATATATACCAATAAAACCTGAGGATCACTTATGCTATTGAAAGTTAAGGTGACTAGCTGGGAGTTGATGGTTTTGGGTCTTAAAATTCGTATAAAGATTTAGTGAGGTCAATAGATGATTGAATTCATTAATTTTAATAAACAATAATAGTAAATATGTATATATAATTAATTACTTTATTGAAATACTAATTAAGAGTTCTAGATTTTCAAATGTATAATAATATAATATTAATTATTTCCATATATGAGTATATAGTAATAGTTATTATTATATATTAATTAATTAGTATAATGCTATTTTTATTACACTAGTATTTGCGCCCGTGCGTTGCACGGAATGAATTTGTTATAATATTTTAAAAATATTTAGATCGATATACAATTGTATAAATTATAACATCGAATATTATATAATATAATTGAAGAATTAAGTTGCACCGATTATGTTTTCTGATGTTATCAATACTTGAATTTGAGTAAATAATTGCCCAATTAATAGCTAACGTGTAGATATACGCATTCGGTGCTGCAACTTTAGAGATTTTATATATCAGTGTTTAAAATTTGTATTAATTGGGCTAATTAGCTCGTTGTCTAGCAACTCAGTTATAGAAATTATTTATACGGAAGATATATTTTTTATGTAAATATATAGCAATTTTGTCATCTTTGTATATAAAAAACATAATATCAATGGCTTGAATTATACATTATATTATTGAAGATCTCTTTGTAGACGACATTGGTAGTAGTAACGGAATTTTATCCATCCTCGTCTAGAGTTAAAACCATCAGACCATCAGGATGGGTGACTCGGGAAAAAGCCACATACAATTAACCGTGATTAAAGACTGATTTTTTCAATAATAACTCAACGTGAGTTATTGTTTGACCCTGACTTTTGTTGATAGTCATGGCATATGCGAGCATCAACATGAATTGTTTTCGTTAGAACTTGAAGGGCAATCTCGTATCAAAAGGGTGAAAGACATTTTAATTGAAGATTTTACTTTATTAATAGTATACATAGAATTTCAAATGGATTTTCTCATATAGTACGCAGAAAAATCCAATCATCAAGTAATTAACCTTTAACTTGAAGTCAACCTGCAAATTGAAACTTTTTGAAGTTGAAGGGTCTAATTACACAAATCAGTATAGTTCGAGAGCTTTTTTTTTTTTTTTTTTGAAAGCTACTGGCTCTATTACATTGTAGTATCTGAGGCTCGAACTCTTAATCTTCCAAATGGAAGTCCAACCCGGATACCATTAGACCATATAGTCCTGGTACAGTTCGAGAGCTTATTTGACCCTTATCTCCCTTTTTTTTTTTTTAAATGAAAAAATTGTTATATATCTAGACAAAAATATATATATCTTCCATACAAATGAATAAGGATATCAGTTAGAGAACGAGCACATTTGTCTAATTTATGAAAATACTAAACAATGATAAATAAAATCTTCAAAGTTATAGCACCGCATGTATACATCTAGATATTAGCTATTCATTTGAGCAATTATTTGCACAAATTCAAGCCAGGATAACATCAAAATATATAAACGATCCAAACCGTATCTTTAATTGTACTATATAATATTTGATATTCTAATTTAAATAATTATATATCCATTAATATATTCTCAATATATTACAACAAATCCATTCCGTGCATCGCACGGGTGCAAATACTAGATTATTAGCATATCATATGAGACTTTTATTCAATTTGTTAAATTATTAGCAATTTATTATTTATCAATTTAGTTCTATATTTACTATATTGCATAACCTGTTTTTATATAATTTGTGCTTGTACTAAGGATCTTGTGGTCCAATGGTATCAAGTTGAACTCTCACATGGGAAGTTGTGAGTTTGAGACTTAATTGAGGCACTATTAACTTTTGAGAAAGTAGTTATGAACAGATACGACATTGTAATAGAGTTAATAGTATCCAAAAAATATATATATACTTTGTGTTTGTAATTTAAAATAGAGTTAGGTCCACTAGAGGTCCCAAGTCTTTAGTGGCAATTTCAAATTTAGTCCCAGACTACTGTTTTTGTCATTTAACATCCCAGACTATTATTTTTTGGACACTTTTAGTCCTTTTCATGACTTTTTCTATTTTTAGTAAGGATATTTTTGTCTTTTCATATTTTTCCAGTTTCAACCGGTTAATCAATTTAGAACTTTAGGTAACCTCTGATTTTTAGTAACCATATTTTTCAATCGATTTTTAGTAAATTCCTAAACCAATTAAACAGATTGAAATCGGAAAAATAACACAAGAAAAATAAGAAGAGACAAAAATGCCCTTACTAAAATAGAAAAAATCATGAGAATGACTAAAAGTGTCTAAAAATTTAATAGTCTGGGATGTTAAATGACAAAAACAATAGTCTGAGACTAAATTTAGAATTGTCACCAAAGACAAGGGACCTCTGGTGGAATTAACTCTTTAAAATAATAACTTGATTTGCATATTTTTGTTTTCTAATCAATGTTATATAAATTTATTATAATTTTATAAGCATATCATATGAGAATTTAATTTTGTTAGAATTAGCAGTTGATTAATTTTTTTATTAATTTAATACATTTTTATTTAATCTTTCTAGATGGACTAACTACAACATATCGTTATGTTTTAACATGTGAAGTACTTGTAGGGTGGATTTTTTGGGGGGTTCAATTAGTTGTTCTTTTTGAAAAAGCAATAGTTATAATTCCAATAAATGTACATAGTAACATCATTAAAGTTATATTATTCCTCGGTTAAAGTTATTTTATCCCTCCGTTGTAAAAGCATATTTTACGGGGACCACTTGTTTATGTTGTACTATCTACCTTTTGAAAAAACAATATTTATAATTTCGATAAATGTACATCGTAATATCACTAAAGTTATTTTATTCCTTCGTTGTAAAAGCATATGTAATGGAGAGCACTTGTTGGTGTTGTACTACCTACCGTTTTTGTTATTATTTTTATTTTTATTTTTTGAAGTGTAGTAGTTAGTTCCAATAAATACATTTATGAACGTATTTATGTAGTCATTGTAGTGCTTGACTTGCTTTCGATTATGATAAGATTATGCCTTTGTTGCGAATAAGATTATGATAATAAATTACTTGATTCTTAAGAGTTCGATAACAATGATTTTCAAGTGTCTAAATATTCACTAATGAAAATTATGGAATTTTCGACCACCTGAAAGTGATCTTATATCAAGTCGAAAGCAAAAAGTGGTCGGAAATAGTAACAAAGGTTTTTCCGGATACCAAAAGTGGTCGGAACAAGACTTTCGACTTGATTTAAGATCATTTTCAGGTGGTCGGAAATTCCATAATTTTCAGCAATGATAGTCCGATCAAAGTAAGCTAACCCGTCACACATTGGGCTTAAATATTTTGAGTTTTTGTAAACCAGAACTACAAAACTCGCAAGCTAGGGTTCAAGTAATCCTAACCTATCCCATCCAAGTTGGCGGACCCCTCTTTTTAAAGAATAAAAATAAATAAATTACAAGATTACAAATTAATAACATATATATTTTTGTTTATACATATAAAGGATTTGGCCCATCGCCGGTTGACCCACCTCTCTGTGGGGCAAGAGCGGGTCACACGTAATAATATGATGAATTAATCTATATTTAAATTGTTATTATAAATTCATATAAATTAAATTTATGTTTTCAAGAAAAATTCTTTTTACATTACAAAAGTATGTCATCAACATACAATAAATGATAATATACTTCAAAGAAAATCACAATTTTAATTATTCAATTGTTTTGAAATTGTCAATGTAATTTTATATTTTAATTTTTGAAATCTAGTTCTCTAATTATCCTAAAAATTATAAATTTAGTCGTAGTGTTATATGCTTGATTATGAAATAATTAAAGAATTAGATTTCAAAAAATAAATTAAAAGAAGGAATCACACTGGTGATTTGAAAACACTTGAAACACAATTATGATTTTTTTTAATTAAAAAGAAAAATATAAAATTTTCGTGCATAAATAATAAATGTATTACTAATCTAATTTGGGTGCATCATGATATCAACACCGACCCTATATTTTTTTTTTATAAAAATAGGAAGGGGGGAACCCAAGCAAAGCAACAGAATTACAAAGAGTTCATTGTGATACGCCAAACTGGTAGACTATCCCTGTCATTATCTAGTAAAGTTGTAATTTCGTCAGGGGGATCTGTCAAGGAGAGGAGTCCAAAGTCGTGGTTGATAGCCATTTTTGCAAGAGCATCAGCTACATAATTTTGCTCGCGGTTGATGGCAGAAACTTGCCAATGGTTGAGGCGTCGGAGCTCTTTTTTGCAGGCCTCTAAGATGTTGTGGGCAGCTATACAAGAGGGTCTTGAGTCTTGCAGGAAGTTGACGACGTCGCTGGAGTCACTTTCTATTAGGACATTAGAGTATCCTTTCGCAATAGCAAACTGAATCCCTTTTAAGATGGACCAGGCTTCCGCTTCGAGGGGAGTACAAGTGCCAAGCTTGGCAATGAAGCCGGTAATCCATTCACCAGAAGAGTTTCTTATTACGCCACCACAGCCTGCTGTAAGGGAGAGAGGTGCAACCGAACCATCAATATTTAATTTGAGTGTACCTGGTGGAGGCTTCTTCCAAGTAAGCATTTTCCAGGACTGATCAACTGTGGGTATAGGGTTCATGCATCTAGCAAAGGAATTGTTGATATCTTCTATGTGGGTTCTGATTTGCTGGACTTTGACGCTTAGTGGCTTGACTAAGTTCTTGAAGATAGCTTCATTTCGCCATTTCCATACCCACCATAGAGTGACAGCGAAGGTGATGTTGTCGCTTACTGGTCTTCTACCATTTCCTTTGGCTGCAACACCTTTATCGAGCCAAGGAACAAGGGGGAGGTGCTTCGTTTTATCGTGAAACTCAGGGAGGATGGCTGTCCAAATAGCTTCGGCCGCCGGACAAAAGCGAAGAACGTGATTAGTATCCTCGGGTGTTCCTACGCAAGTCCAGCAGGAATCGTCGTTTGTGAGCTTGCGTTGTGTGCGGCAGAGATTGGTCATGATCTTGTTGTGCCTGACAAGCCATAAGAAAAAGCAAATGCGGCTAGGAATCTTAAGCTTCCAAATGGCATTCCATCTGGATGCTTCAACATCAATTGGAGGATTGGAGATAGTGTCGTAAGCAGAGCTGACTGAGAAGGAGCCATTGGGTTCCTTATGCCAAACTATTTGATCATTCAAGAGGGAGTCTTGCTGGAGAATGAATGTAGAGAGTTTGTTTAGTAGACTTACAGGAAGAAGCTGGTCTAACAGATCCCAATTCCAACCTTCATCTGGAATCCAGTAATCTGTCACATAATTGTTCAGAGATGAGGGCGCTATTTGGGCAGTAATACATTCAAGTAGCGGACGGTCATCAAGCCATATGTCTAGCCAAAAGCGGGTTGAGACTCCATTTCTTACGTGCCACTTTAACCCCTTGCGAACAAATGGCAGGGATTGGAGAATGCATCTCCAAGCAATAGAACTGTTGGTATGTGGGAGCCAAGAGGTCCAGTCAGTGGGAACTAAACCATACCTAGCTTTGAAGAGTTTGATCCATAGGCAATCTTCGTCTTGATAGAGTCTCCAGGCAAGCTTTGCTAAGAAAGCCAAATTCATGTGTTTGAGGTTTTTGATACCAAGACCACCATTATCCTTACGTTTTGTGACAGTGTCCCAGTTGACTAAGTAACATTTTCTGATGCCGTCCTTAGCGCCCCAAAGAAAGCTACGTATGATCTTTTCTATGGCTTCGATCACACCTAACGGGAATGGCATAGTCTGCATAGAATAATAAGGAATAGCAGTCAGGACTGATTGGATCATGATGTGGCGGCCGGCTAATGACAGAGTTTTTGACTTCCATCCTGCAAGCCGATTTTGGATCTTCTCCAAAATGCCTTTGAATAAATCCTTGTTAAATCTGCCATGGATTGTGGGCAGTCCCAAATGGATGCCCATATCTGGAACAGTGGAGATTCCTAAAGCCTGCGAAATCTGTTGACTGATGCTGGGATCCACGTTCTTTGAAAAGAAGAGGGATGATTTGGTATTGTTGATTTTCTGGCCGGAACATGAACAAAATAGCTCGAGGCATCTCAATATTTCCGAGGCCTGCTGCATCGTGGCCTCCCCAAAAAAGACTAAGTCATCTGCGAAAAAAAGATGCGACATGTTAGGTGCATTGTGGGAAATTCTAACTCCTTTCCAAGTACCATGATTAACAGAGTTTTGGACAATATGACTAAGCCTTTCAATACATAGAACGAATAGGAGAGGGGAAATAGGGTCTCCCTGTCTAATTCCTTTTTCCGGGGCAAACCAATCCGTCAGGTGACCATTCCAAAAAACCGCGAGGCGGGATGATGTTATGCAGTGCATTATGTTCCTTATCCAAGACTGGTTGAAGCCAATATCTCTGAGGGTGTCTTCGATGAAGCTCCATGACAGCCTATCGAATGCCTTTTCAAGATCGATCTTTAGTGCCATCCATCCTGTTTTACCCTTCTTAGTACGAAAGGAGTTAAGTACTTCTTGATAGGCTAGAGAATTATCGATTATCTGTCTTCCTTGGATGAAGCTTGATTGATGAGGGCCTACAAGTTTACCAGCAATGTCTTTTAACCGGGTAGCCATGATCTTGGTTATAAGCTTGTAAGCAACGTTGCAAAGGCCGATTGGCCGGAACTGTTTGATGTATTCCGGGTTCTGCACGTTTGGGATGAGTGACAAAATAGTATCATTGCAGCCTGGGGGTAAGATTCCATGCTCAAAGAAGTGCATTGTAAATTTAACTAGGCAGCCGCCTGTAGAAGACCAAGTCCTTTGGAAAAAAGCTGCTGTAAAGCCATCAGGGCCCGGGGCTTTACATGGGGCCATATCGAACAGAGCTGTTTTGACTTCTTCTACACATATGGGAAGGTTAACCGTGTGCCAGTCTTCATTCGGGAGGTGGGGAAAGCAGCCGTGTTGGAGGTTCTGTAAGGATGTCCCATTATCTGCTGAATATAAGTCTAAATAAAAGTCGTGGACGTGTTTTAGTAACAAAGCATCCTCGCAGATAACCAGATCATCCACGCCTCTAAGGTGTGGAATTTTGGAGTGAGATTGTTTGATAGAGGTTGCAAGTTGATAGAAGCGTGTATTGCGATCTCCGGATTTAATCCACTCCTCCCGTGAGCGTTGAAACCAAGATAGCTCCTCTTGGTATAGAGTTTCATCTAGTTCCTTGCGTAATCTGCGATTGAGCCTTAGCAGATCTAATCTTGGTCCTCTTGAGAGGCTTCGCTGGACACCCTTTAATCTGCCTAGGAGATGTTTTTTCCTCTTGAGAATGTTGCCAAAGGAGTTTCTTGTAACACCCCGTGTTACGGCCCTTAATCCCGAATTAATTATTTAATTAATTCCATTAATAATAATTAAAAAGGATTTAATTTGATTAGAAATCCCTTTAATTAATTAACGTGGTCCACCACGGATCATGGACCCTTGCCTAAACATAGTCATAAGCATATTAGGAATAAAGAAAGTATACCTTTACTATTCAGATTATGGTTAGGATTCTCTTTAATTAATTAATATGGTCCACCATAGTTCATGGGCCCTTATCCATAAACCCAATTCTTAGTCCCAAAAGGAATAGCATTAGCAAGCCTATAATATTAGTTCCTAATTAGGACTCCTAAATATATAAATAGGGGACTTAAGAGGCACCTAGAAACCCCCCACCACAATAATGCCCCACCACCCAAAGAGCTCCAAGAATCCCCTTAGAAGAAATCAAGAAAGCAAGAAAGCTTAAAGAAAGACCCTTCATAGCCAAGGAATTAATTAAGGCTAAGAGGTAACCCATGTCTCAACAAAACCTATTTTCATAGTTATGATTCCCCCTTAGGATCCCCCATATTATTGTATGTTGATGATTCGTTATATTGATAATTGGTGTTATGATTCCATTGATGTTCTTGATGATCTTGACGATGATGGTTCTTGATAATTATGGTGTTCTTGATGATTATATGACGTTCTTGATAATGACATGGTGTTCTTGATGTTCTTAATGATTATATGAGGTTCTTGATAGTTGTATGATATTCCTACCGAATCTTGATTTTGGAAGATGAATTGTAATTAGAACCCTAGGTTATATCGTGGAATTCGTATGGTATTATTCTTGGTATATTGGGTGGGATTTCGCATGATTGGGTGTTTATTATGTTTAGAAAAGCATGATAGGTTATGTGCCGTTTGTTTCTTGATTTTGATCCGTTAATTGTCTACGTGTGTTATCAATTGCGTTTGAAAGTGTCTGAGCATGGTTTCGGGTTCCACAAAGGTTCCCGGGGCGTTTATTGTGTTAATGAGTCAGTGGGGGGTAGGTGGGGGTAGGGGACCCGCCACCTACCCGCGGCCAAAAAGGGGAGCTCCGGCAGCGGGCAGCCGGCGGGCGGGCAGCTGCCCGCCGGGCACCCGCTGCCCGGAACAGTAAATACCGGCGGGCAATCGGCTGGTAAACCCCCACCCACCGGCTACCAGCTGGAAATTCCCACACTTCGGGACTCTAGCTTCCCCGTTTGATGTTCCCCCGACCCCCGTGGTGTCCCAACGGACTCCGTCTATCGTGCCTATGTCTAGTTCGATATTTCGGGTACCGTTCGTAGGTTGTATGAGTCTTATATATTGCATGCTAGTTGAATTGGTATCCCGTTGACCTAGGTATAAGAAGTATGAACCCCTTAGGAGTATTCTTAGTTGTGGATGACCACGCATAGGTTTCGTTATACGTTTTCCCCCTTCCCAATGTGTTAATATGGGTTGCATGTGCTTGCTATGTGTTATGTGTGCATGTCACCCCGATTTGGTTGAGATCAATCGGGCTACACGGGCAGTCGGATGGGCTGAGAACCATACCGGCTGTTAACCAGGCTGGTAAAGACCAGTCAGGTATATAAATATTATATAGGACTAAGTTCCACTATACGGGCAGTCGGATGGGCTGAGAACCATACCGGCTGTTAACCAGGCTGGTAAAGACCGGTCAGGTATACAAATATTATATAGGACAAAGGTCCACTATACGGGCAGTTGAATGGGCTGAGAACCATCCCAACTGTTAACCAGGCTGGTAAAGACCGGTCAGGTATATAAATATTATGTAGGACAAAGGTCCATCAGTCGGTTGCGATCGGCTCCTCCGTAATGTGAGACGGGGCAGGGTGCTGCGGGGCCGTGTCAGAGCTATATGCGCTGACCCTCATGTATGGGCATGCGATTGGTCCTGTGGCGCCAACAAAATGTGCTATATGATGAGATAAGAAGGATTGATGTTGTGACTGTTATGGAAACGTGACCATAGGATTCTTGCTAGTAAACTATACATGTTTAATTGTGATTATTGGTTGTGTTTATTTATAACTGTGCCCTATGTCGAGAATTGTATATACTTGATTATGACTGTTGATTATGTGTACCCCTATTTGTCGAGTCGGTTCCCTGATTTGAAAACTAGAGTCTCTTAGGATATACCTTCATGCTTCGAAATGACTTTTCGTATATCTATGTATATAACTATATGTATTGTATTTCAACGCGTTGGAGTGGGTTACCAGCATCTCTCGCTGAACAGATATATTTGGCTTTCAGGCACAGAAGAATAAGTCACTGGAGCGCGCTAGAACTTGGAACGTAGAAGTAGATAGTTTCCCTTTCGGCCTGCGTGCCATGCTTATGCATTTACATTATTGAGCATATTAGTTAGTTAGCCTGTGCACCGGAGTTCTCTAGCTCAGGTGTGGCATAGCACCCCGTACTCTTGTATTATGTTTTGGGATTTAATGAGATTTCACCTTTATTTTATAAGTTTTAAATGTCTTGAAAATCTGGGGTGTTACTGTAACACCCCAGATTTTCAAGACATTTAAAAACTTATATAGCAAGGGTATTATCTCATTAAATCCCAAAACGTAATACAAGTGTACGGGGTGCTATGCCACACCTGAGCTAGAGAACCCAGGTGCACAGGCTAACTAACTAATATCCTCAATAATGTAAATGCATAATATGGCACGCAGGCCGAAAAGGGAACTATCTACTTCTACGTTCCGAGTTCTAGCGCGCTCCAGTGACTTATTCTTCTGTGCCTGAAAGCCAAATATATCTGTTCAGCGAGAGATGCTGGTAACCCACTCCAACGCGTTGAAATACAATACATATAGAGATATATATAGATATACGAAAAACCATTTTGAGCACGAAGATATATCCTACGAACTCTAGCTTTAAAACCGGGAATGACTCGACAGATAAGGCTAGACACAAGCAACAGTTATAACGAGCATATGCAGTTCACAACAGATAAGGCAGATAAGGCAAATCATAAACAATAATCAGAACCCAACATGAACAATCCCCAATATAAATCCCATAGTCACATCCCCCAAGATACTCGTAATCACAACTCATCAATGTCACAACACATAACACACTTTGTTGGCGCCGCAGGACCAATCGCATGCCCATACATGAGGGTCAGTGCATATAGCTCTGACACGGCCCCGCAGCACCCTGCCCCGTATCGCAACACGGAGGGGTCGATCGCAACCGACCAATGAACCGCAGCTCATAAGAATGTGTAATCTGACTGTAGCCAGGAATTCCCATCTGACTACAGCCAGCCTCCGAACCGCTGCTCGGGAAAATGTCATCTGATTGCAGCCAGGAATTCCCATCTGACTACAACCAGCTTCTGGACCGCTGCCCAGGATACCGTCATCCGACCACAGCCAGGAATTCCCATCTGACTGTAGCCGGCTTCTGAACCGCAGCTCAGGAATAACCAATCCGATCGCAACTGAATTGGGGTAACACGCACACATAACACATAGCAAGCACATGCAACCCACATTACACGTTGGGAAGGGGAATAAACGTATAAATAAACCTATGCGTGAACCATCACCAACTAAGAATAGTCCTAAGGGGTTCATACTTCTTCCTCCTAGGTCAACCGGGTACCAATTCAACTAGCATGCAATATAATCGACTCGTAAACCTACGAATGGTACCCGAAATACCAAACTAGACATAGGCACGACAAACGGGGTCCGTTGGGACACCACGGGGATCGGGGAAACAACAAACGGGGAAGCCGGGGTCCCGAGGGGGGGAAGGATTCCAGCGGGTAGCCGGTGGGTGGGGGTCACCCGCCGGCTACCCGCCGGGCAATACTGTTCCGGGCAGCGGGTCACCGGCGGGCAGCTGCCCGCCCGCCGGCTGCCCGCTGCCGGAACAGTGTTCTCAGCCGTGGGTAGGTGGCGGGTCCCCTACCCCCCACCTACCCCCCACTGACTCTTTTCATCAACTTTTCGCCCCGGGAACCAAAGTGGAACCCGAAACCATGCTTGGACACTTTACAACGTAATTAACGGCAACACGTAAACAATTAACGGATCAAATACGAGAAACGAACGGCACATACCCTATCATGCTTTTCTAAACATAATCAACACCCAAACATGCGATTTCCCCACCCGAAAACCCAAGAACAATATCATACGGTACAACCTAGGGTTCTAATCACTTTTATATCAACAAGAATACGATTCGCCTTCTAATTGCAAGATTCGGTAAGAATAACATATAATCCCCAAGGATACCAATCAATCATCAAAAACACCATAATTGCCAAGAACAATACATAATCATCAAGAATCCCAATTAATTATCAAGAACATCATAATTATCAAGAAACTCCCAATATCAAGATTATCAAGATTCCTCATTATATCAACATCAATAACAATCACAATACTCGCCATTCACAATAATATGGGGAAACCCTAAGGGGAAAACCATAGCTATGAAAATAGGTTTTGTTGAGACATGGGTTACCTCTTAGCCTTAATTAATTCCTTGGCTATGAAGGATCTTTCTTTAAGCTTCCTTGCTTTCTTGATTTCTCCTAAGGGGATTCTTGGAGCTCTTTTGGGGGTGGTGGGGCGTTATTCTTGTGGGGGGTTCTAGGTGCCTCTTAAGTCCCCTATTTATATATTTAGGAGTCCTGGTTAGGAACTAATATTATAGGCTTGCTAATTCTATTCCTTTTGGAACTAAGGATTGGGTTTAGGGATAAGGGTCCATGGCCCATAGTGGACCATATTAATTAATTAAAGGGAATCCTAATCGTAGTCTGAATAGTAAAAGGCCTACTTCCTTTATTCCTAATAGATAACTAGGTCTAGGATTCCTAATTAGAATCTGAATAGTAAAGGGTTTACTTTCTTTATTCCTAATAGGCTTAGGACTCTAATTTAGGCAAGGGTCCACGG